TTTCAACTATTACTAACAATTGAATTTCTCTTAACTGTTAGCAAATAGCAATATTTACTAGAAAGTTATCAGGTATTTTTGGGCTGTATGGGCTTTTTTATTAGGCCCAAATCTAGCCTAATATTTAGTGGGCCTAGCCCAAGCCCGGCCCAAATAATAATGGGCTCAAAAATTTAAGCCCGAACTGAGTCCAAGCCCGGCCCAATTTACAAATTTTCGGGTTTAGTCCGGACCATTCTGTCCTCTAACTATAGTCACTAAATATTCAAAAAAAAAGCAACTATGATCGCTAAATATTCAAGATATATTATTGTTATATATTAAATACTCAACAGCAAACAGAGTTAATGAAAAAAAAATATCTTGTTCATAGAATCTAACCAAAGTCAATTCGTATATCAATATAATTTAAAAGGCAAAATGATATAGTAATATAAAGTTAATTATAGTATATACGTATATACTGTAGTACACACATTCGTACTATATATACATATATATATACATATGTACTGTAATGAATAACTTTGTCATATGTTTCTTCTTCATGTACTATCATAACCATGTTAATCCTAACTTTACAGTATTAAACATTCTTATGCATCCTTAATAGCTTAACCCATATGAATTTCCCTAATTATATATATACTCTTGCATAAACTTGATAGAAAGAGTTGCCTGTGAAAAGCATATATGAGTCAAAGTTAGAAGTGTAGATATTATAATCTTAGTGCAGACATCATAAGAAATGAATCACTTTTTGTTTTAGAGAAGCTAGTATAATAATAACTTCTAAAAAATAGATAAATCTATGCTAACTTTTCTAAAATAAAAAATAATTTTGATTATTTTTAATAATGGAGTCCTAAAATCTTAATAAACTTTCTATATACTTTTTTTATTTATTTGTAGTTTGATTTGTTTTTAAAAAATACTTTAAACTGTATAAAAATCTAAAATTAAATTGGTTTAAACAGCCAATCATATAAAGTCTTTCTATGATGCATGCAATGCTTTTTAAGATTACATACTTTGAAGTGATTATAGTAAGCGAAATTTATATAAGTATACTATATATTGCATCTTAGATTTGGTGTAATAGTGACTATTATGAAATTTAATATTAGATGTGATAATTGCGGGCTAATTTTATTATAAAAAAATTATATCAAAAAATTTAGATGATTATAGCATGATTGTAACAAAAATGGATGTAACTATTGCAGAAGTTGACTGTACTCTTGTTCTTTCTCTTTCTCTCTTTTTAGCACAGTACAGAACAGTAAAAGATATCCAATTTATATATAAGAATGCCAATTTTTAATGCTTATTTAATCAATTATGATTGGCTAATTTTTGTGTAATTGATTCTAATTGGTTAAACATATATATATGTTTTCTTTTTTTTTATATTAAACCCAATTTTTTGAACTTATATAAACTTTAATCCTTTATAACTTTTTTAAAACAAAGAATAAATAAATCTTCTGACAGAAATGTAGTTTATTTAAAAATCTATCAATTTATCAAAAAGTTTTTTGATTTAGTTTATTTTAAAAAAGTTATAACACTTTAAAGTTTTTATTAATAAACATTAGATATGTTTTACTATTTGGTACTGTATTAGTATTAATGCTAGTATATTTTTCTTTTTTTCACTTCTTTACGAAATGTCATCAAATTAACAATATTCTATTGTAAAGCAATAGTCTAATATAACTTTTTATCTTTGAATTTTCTGTTAACTTACTGTAATATGTTTCTTGTAAATTTATTTGCCTAGTATAACAGATCACTTGTAAGTGTTTTTAGAAGTAACTGCAGAATGTTAGGCCTAAATATTAAGCTTAAACATTTTGTACAACCTGTAACAAAATAATCTTAATAAAGAATCACTGGCAAAACTACCAAAGTTGAAAAAATAAAATAAGTTATTCAAATAGATAAGTTGCAGGTACAACATGTAATATAAAACTAGTAATAGGCAAATTATTTAAATAGGTGTCCAAAAAGCACAGGTATAACTAGTTTGTACTTTTCAAATATGTATAATAAATTGTTTACACTAAAAAATACACTTGACTAAGAGGTCACCTTAATACTAAACAAATAAGTGATTATTATTAGCAAATTTTTACAAATGCAAATTTCGAAAAATTTGTATTTACCCACAAAATATTTAAAAATTACTCTGAAATTCAAATTTTATTAAGTGATTTTGCAAAATTGCGCTAAGTAAAATTGTTTAGCAAGTTATTCCGATTATAATGATACTTAAATAATCAGAATTGGTTGGATATTTATTTATTGAAATAGCTAAATCAAAAAATTTTTTTGAAATATTTTGTATATTCAAAATATTGCTATCTCAATGAACAATTTTATTTAGCGCAATTTTGCAAAATCACTTGTAAATGCAAATCTTTCGAAATATTGCATTTTAAAAATTTGTTGATATAAAGAGGTCTTACTGTACTACTATTCTAAACATGATATAAATTATATTTGTTATTTATTCTATTAATTGAAAACATTCAATCACTGTATTAAACAATATCCCAATATCCCAATTTATCATTTCACGAAAAATAATACAAAGTTCATACATTATCAGCAATCATATATTCAATTGTAATTCCTTATTGATTTCCGCAATTCTGGCCTTCCAAGAATCGACATCTTTCAATTTAGCTACTAAAGCAGCCACCTCCTTATCCAAAGACATACGTTCTTGTTCGGTACCAATTGTCGAAAATTCACAGGTACCTTCATCTCCGAGACGTAGTAAATGTGAATGATATTTGAATAAGGATGGTCGGTGGGATATAGTAACAAGTGCTAAAGAATATACAATTATTTATATAACAATACTTACAATGAAATCAAAAAAAAAAAACTATAATTACTTATGCCAATATCTTTCGCATGCTGATACATTAATCCTTCGACATCAGAGCTCACAGCACTAGTGCCTAATATTCATGTATTAAATAAGGAGAATTGGAGTAAACAACTGGTTTGTATCAAAATCATTCATGCCAAGAATATACATCACTATGAAATATGAGTGATGCCAAATGGAATATTTTACATATTTGATAGTGTTCACCTTACAGGATTTAAATTCTGATGCCATTTTTCAATGGTAAATAGTGTTATTGGAACTTGAAGCCAGTAAGTTCCACATAAAAACATTACTTGCAAGTTTCCATTTGGCACACTCATGTATAGAAAATATGTCAAAAATAGAATTATACATACATTCATCAAGAATTGCAAACTTTGGATGATGGTAGAAAAGTCTTGCAATTCCGATCTAAATAACCAATCAATATATAAACAAAATACGAAAATTCGAAAGTCATGACGTAAAAATCAAAAACTTAATATTTACCCTTTGTTTTTCTCCACCAGAGAAAACATCTTTCCACTCTTTTTGAGTTTCCCATCCACCTTCGCGATCAGGTATGTTAGCCAAATGAACTTTACGTAAAATATCGAGTAGTTCATTGTCAGTGCGACCTGAACGCTTCATATCCGTTAAAGAATGTGGGTAAATGATTCTTTATGAAAAAAAGGAAATCAGATAATAATAAATGGTAATAAAACATAAGGAAAAAAAATAATTAAAATTAAGCGTACTGATCACGAAGAGTGCCTATGCTAAGATATGGACGTTGGGGAATATAAAAAATGTCTTTTTCTTCAGGTCTAGATAGTCGACCTCCTATAATATAAATATTAAAATTAATATATGTACCAAGAATTATAATGATAAACCCATAAAATAAAAAATATATGTATTACGAAATAAAGGCCATAATCTACTGATAACCCTCGCGACACTCGTTTTACCAATACCGTTTGGACCAGTAATCAACAAATGTTCACCAGGATGTATTGAAATATTTAATGACTTTATCAATTCTTCACCTCCTCGCTCATTTCCTGCGTTAGGTGCAACAATCGGAACACTTTCAAATTTTAAGCCATTATAACCATAATTTACTTCACCACGTATATTATCAAGCGAGTAAAATTCTTGATCATCAGGAAAATTCAACGGACGAGGTGTTGCAACATATTCACAAGCATATAAGGAGTGTAAGACGGAAAGTAAATTATAAACTCTAGAAGTATAGCCAGCGAGTTCAGCAAGTTCTTTGTAAGAATACATCATACGACCTCCAGCATCAGCAAGTGTCAGCATGAGCCTTGAGGTACAGATAGTCATTGAACAAATCGACGAAAAAAGTATAAAATATTAATTAATTGATAAATAAATAAAAATGTTACCTTTTATTAGTAATAAATGCTTTTGTACGGTCTCTTTCTTTTCCATAGACGGTATTACCACCTAATTCTTGCCTGCCACCTCGGCCACCCCAACTAGGAAAGAAAACAGGCACAGAACACATTAAAAGTCCAATCGCACTCCAACAATATTTTATTAGAAAGTCTTCAAACATATTATATGCAATACGAATTTTAAAAATGGAATTTATGTGTTTAATAAGTTTCGTATAAGTACGATTCAGAATAGAAAGTTCCAAATCAGCTCCATTATAGAAAGCAATTTCTTCAGCATTAGTAATAAGACGAGTATGGGCAGCACGAAAATCGCCTTCCAATTTTGCTTCGTGAGCAGCTAATTTACCGAAAGCAGGGGTAGCCTTCCTTAATATCCAAGCAGTAAGCAGGTAATTTCCGAATAGTCCCATCATTCCGACAACACCAATGCTTTTTGTCAATTGGTAATTAAATATAATTGTATCTAATAATGGTTTACCCAAATTAGAATACAAAGAAGCAAGACCATCACAAAAACGAGCTATGTCAGTAGTTATGAACCTAATATTGTGAACAAATGGACGGTACTATTAATTAAGGCAAATATTTAATTTTTTTAATGATATAAACTTACTGATCAGCACCATCAATTCTATTATCAAGATTAATTGTTTTATAATAAGCGTTCTCTTTATTCAAATAAAGATCATGTACATAACGCGTTAATCGCGTTCTGAAAGCGATAGATAATTTTGACTGGAGAAAACGAATCTAGTATTTAAGCATAAAAATTTTTTATTTAGAATAAACAAGGTCAGGTTTCAGGTGAACAATTAATAATGTCTTCAACATTTACCATGCTATTTGTGTATGTCGCTGGAATGGCTATAGCAAACCAATACATTATCCCTTTAAGAAACTCTTTTCCGTTTGCAGCAACCTTCGCAGCGAAAAAAAAAAGTTAATAAAAATAAAATTAATAATAAATTTGAATAATTGAAACTACACATACCAAATCTCGAACAATTCTTCCGTCCAACCTTGCTACAACAATGCTTAACCATGTTCTTAACACCAGAAATACAGAATGTAGCACTAAGATAATAACTTCTTTTGATCTGATTCTTGGTATGATAATTTTTAAAACTGCAGAAAGCTGCTTAAAAAAAATTTTGTTTACTCCAACCCTTTGACCACTCGTGGCGGGGGGGAAGAATTTCTTGTGTTTTTTAAAAGTTTCGTTGGGAGTTGGACGAATAGTGACTTTTGCAGTTCGATTTTTATAAGGTACCGTTATGGTATATTTGTTACTTCCAGACGCTGGGCCATCAAAGGCGTCATTTCTATTATCACCTGAACCTGATATTGGAGATATAATTGGAGGCCCCGAATTTTCGAATCGTCTTTTATAAATATAATTTGAAATATAAGCAGCTAGAGTTATAACTGCAGCAGAGGCAATAACTTTGGTCTTGCTATATGGCTGTCGTAGAACATTACTGGTGGCAGGCTCCAAGACCGCTTGTAGGGGCACTGGCAGTCTATCGAGAGGTTTTGAAAATGCCACCATAATAAAGACCTAGTTGTCATTGATTGCGAAAAAATTCATCTTTAACAAATTTTGTCACATGATCATTTTTATTGGCTAATCAAAAAGATTGTTGATTGGCTGAAATTGATGATATTATCGTTATCGTTATCATTATCAATATGATACGTATTACTAAGTTAGCAATTGATCAGATATAGCTATATCAAAATATAGCAGATGGTAACATACGTAAATACTACGTATCTACATTACAGTAAGTTATCAGTTATGCTAGATTTTTTTTTTTTGATAATCCTTTCATCTCCTTTCATCTCCTTTCATCTTTCACATCTGTTTGCGCGACAGTCGGACATATGCCGACCCCAAAATATCGGTTCACAGTATATCCATATATTTCACATTAAAAAAAATTAGAGAAATTTTATTTTGACCCGGGTCAAAATGACCCCCACCTAGAATTTAGGGTTAGTGCAGGCCAGAATTAAGTTAGTGCCGGCCGGTTTGTCTGGCCGGCATCAATATAATTCTGGTCCGCACTAACCCTAAAATTTTGCTGGGTCATTTTTGACTATATAGGATAACTTTCTCGTGATTGGTCGTCACATGAAATTGAATAACACGTTATTATTGGCCAATTGTGAAA